TAAAAATGGCGGCTCCCTGCTTATGCAAATGAAGCCTGGGAAATTCAAATCCTGGGCTTCATTTGCAAGTGCAGTATGCCTACATTACCCCGCTAGTTCAAACTAGCGGGGTAGTGTAGACATACCCTCAGTGAACAATTTCGCTGATGATTCATGACGAGGAATCCTGCCTGCTGTATCCTAGCAGTTCTCAAACTGTGGGTCAGGACCCCAAAGTGGGTTCCGATCCCATTTAAATGGGATTGCCAGAGCCAGTAGTATACTTGTTAGGACCCAGGGCTTCAGCTTGGGACAGCGGAGGTATGGCTCCACTTTTTTCCTGCCCCCTGCATGGGTTCATGTTGTAATATTTGTTATTAGAATGGGGTCACAGTGCAATTAAGTTTCAGAACCACGCCTTTTTCTTAGCTCTATTGACTCTGAACAGTTTATTTAAAAAGGTAAAAAAACAAAACAAAACAAAAAATAAAAACAAAAAAACCCCAGAATCTTTAACACTTTTGAACTTCATGGACTAAGTTTTGGGCATGTTTTTAAATGATTTCTGAGATGATCTGATCAGTCCTTCATCCCAGCTTGTGAAGAATCACTTATCCTATAGGGACATATCTTGATATGAATCAGCCTAGAGTGATTATCCATAATTTAAAGTGATGCTATATTGAATACAGAATTAAATACAAAATAGTAATAATTTTATACATAATGCTTCAAGGAATACTAGACATTTATGGTGAAAAAAGAAAAAACCCAAATGATTTCAAATATAAACCCTACCTTGCCAGCCTGGTTTGCACACTGGTTTGACATCAACTCGTACTAAGACATCTTCTGTTGCACGTTTCTGCCCACAGTCAAAAGCAGTTACCATTATCTCATACTGGTGCTGTTTATCGTAGTTCAGCTTCTCGGTGTTTCTGATATTACCTGCAGATATAATATGAAACAGCATCCAGCAATTATTTTTGATCAATCTCATTTCTTTGAAAATTATGTATTTCATCCATGTCTCATTGCATCCAAGTTATCAGCCCACAACAGCAAAGGCCAGATAAAGCAAACCCTCAGTGGGCAAACTTCTTATTCAGGAGTTCTACATGCAGAAAATTGGGGGACGGGGTCCAAATAAAAGGACCCCATTCGTGTCATGTGAGATTTCATTTCAGGATTTTGTATTTGCAGACACCTGATTACATGTAAAGGTATAAGATACAAGTAAGATTGAACATGTAATTGCAGACAACATTACCCTCAACTGAATATACTCATTACATATAACATCCATATCATTACTCCTTTCCCTTAGATCTTGCAGATTGACAACAACTGGTGCATGTTTAGGAAAGAATCAGGAAGAGGGTAACTAAGGGTCTGGGCTAGGAAAGAATTCACACGGTTTTTGCTCTAGTCCTGTGGAGATCAGGGAGGGAAGATAGCACAGCCTAAGTTAATTACCTTGTCACTTCCTCCCTTTGCAGTTAGCTCCTATCTAAATGGAGAATGCTCTCTTCATTTTAGTCCCCTCTAATGGGCTTTAACCACAGGAAGGGACAAATGAAGCAGGATCATCATCATCTACATAACAAAGCTCACCTGCATTTTATATGACACTGCTGTGCTACCAGATGGAAAATAAAATTCAACAACAAAATTCATCTGCCAAACCCGACAGATACATAAAGGTGACAAATTACCTCTCCTAGTATCAAAGAAATTGTACCTTTCACAAGAAAATGGAAAGATCGCTCTCAGTCACCACTTTCTGTGGTGGTATAGGATTGCTGTAGTAATTAATGAGTTCCGCATTTTCATTCAGTTCATTTGTGCACTCAACCTGCACTTCAGAAATGTTGATGTACTTTTTGCACCAACATACCAAAGTGTTCTTGAGCCATAGGAATTTATATAACCTTGCTCATACCCTAAAACTGTATTAATTTTAAATGTGAATCACTATATCAATTCATCATATCAACTGTGGATCTGACAGGACATGTGGATCTGACACAATCAAGTAGTTTGACCAAAATATACACACTTACGCACCAAGAACACATATGGGCTGTGTCTAGACTGGCAAGTTTACACAAAGAACACACATGGGCTGTGTCTAGACTGGCCAGTTTTTCCGGAAAATCAGCCGCTTTTCTGGAAAAACTTGCCAGCTGTCTACACTGGCCACTTGAATTTCTGCAAAAGCACTGACTTCCTACTGTAAGAAATCAGTTCTTTTTGCGGAAATACTATGCTGCTCCTCCTGTTCAGGCAAAAGTCCTTTTGCGCAAAGCTTTTGCACAAAAGGGCCAGTGTAGACAACTCAGATTTGTTTTGCGCAAAAAAGCCCCGATCGTGAAAATGGCGAACGGGGCTTTTTTTGCGGAAAAGCACATCTAGATTGGCACGGATGCTTTTCCGCAAAAAGTGCTTTTGCAGAAAAGCGTCCGTGCCAATCTAGACACTCTTTTCCGTAAATGCTTTTAATGGAAAACTTTTCCGTTAAAAGCATTTGTGGAAAATCATGCCAGTCTAGACATAGCCATGGTGTTTATGCACCTAACAAAGGGATTTGATTTTCAAAGTTGCAGAGAAGGCAGGGTTCCCTCCTGTGAGCTGGCCTTTGCTACCTCTTTCCATTAGCTTAAATTTGAGGAGAAAAACCAACCCCCAAATTACTATTCATACATGGCCAATTTCCAAACCTAGACTTTAGTTTTTCATTCATAACCGGGCAGAACACACAAACAGGGTTTTCAAGAGACCTATATGGAAGTGCTGTTTTGGCCCAGACATTCAATCATTTCCAAGCACAAACAACAGCATGTATTGTAGCATGGCAAGTGTAGGATTAGAGCTCTAATTCCTACATCTGAGCTATGTCTATACTGCGCCCACTTTGCACAAAAAATATGCAAATGAGGCAAAGCATGAAATAATGCCGCGCTTTATTTGCATAATTAATGATGCTCCGTTTTTGTGCATGCCGTGCTTTATTTGCATAATTAATGATGCTCCGTTTTTGTGCAAGAGGCTTTTAAGCAAAAAACCTCTCTTGCGCAAGAGCCGTTTTTCCACATTTTTTCAGGAAGAATGGCTCATGCACAAGAGGTGGTGCCATGGTGACAGCTCCTCTTTGTGCAAAAGCCTATTGTGCAAAAATGGAGCCTCATTAATTATGCAAATGAGGCACAGTGATATTCCACGCTTCACCTCATTTGCATATTTTTCTACACAAGAGTGGGCATTGTAGACATAGCCCCGGTGTGTGGTGCTTTCTCTTCATTGCCTTCATAGCAGGGGAAAACAGGAAAGATGTTTGTGACCAAGTCACATTCTGATTCCTGATCTGCTCCTGGGGCAATGCGCTACACTGGTTCTTTAATGTTTCTCTAAGGTTGTGTCTACATTGGTGCGATCTTGTGCAAAAGTGGCTGCTAGCCGCGTGTTCTTGTGCAAGTACACTGACGTTCTAACGTATGAAATCAGGGCTTCTTGCGCAAGACCTCTGATGCTCCCACTCAGGAATAAGCCCTCTTGCGCAACTGTTCTTGCTCAAGAGGCCAGTGTAGACAGGCAACATGAATTTCTTGCGCAAGAAAGCCCTATGGTTAAAATGGCCATCAGAGCTTTCTTGCGCAGGAGAGCGTCAACACTGGCAAGGATGCTCTTGTGCAAAAGCACAGCTCTTGCGCAAATGCACATGCCAGTATAGACGCTCTCTTCTGGAAGAGTTTTTGCACAAGAATTCTTCCACAAAAGAGTTCTTGTGCAAGATCATGCCAGTGTAGATGTAGCCTAAGAGTATATATTTTCCAAATGATGCATCTTAATTAAGCCTTCAAAAAACTCCTACAAAGTAGGCAAGCTCATTATCCAGCCAACAGCCCTCTCTGGTTAATTGTTCCTCACTTGGTCAGTAACCTGTGTAAAAAGTCAAACTGAGCTTTTTCTGACCACTCTCTGATTCAAAAAATAGCTTGGTAACTTACTTTCGCACCCTTATCTCAAATTATACCTCAACTATCTTATTAGCACTAATCCATTTTTTCTTACAGGTTCTGACCATAAATAAAATATCTGGTTTCTTCCAGATCAACTATCCAATACTACTCAGGAAGGGTATGCTCTAGCTACTCTTCATTGTAAACACAGCTTTACAAACCTCATCTAAAGTGAAGTCCATTGGCCTCCCCTGCTCTCTGCCATATCTAACACCATCTTCCAGCAGACAGACAGGGGGCAAGGATATCTCAGTGTTTTGAGCAGTGGCCTGCTAAATTTAGGGTTCTGAGTTCAGTCCTTGAGGGGGCCATTTAGGGATCTGGGGCAAATCTATTGTGGATGGTACTTTGTCCTACTGTGGGTGCAAGGGACTGGGACTCAATGATCTCTCAAGGTCCCTTCCAGCTCTACAAGATAGGCATTC